CAGCACACAGAAGCTTCTTGTTCAGACAGCTAAATAAGAGACCTGGGATTAAAACCCAGATAGTCTGATCCAGTCTCTTAATGATTATGCAGGCTGTCTCAACAGAATTTTCTCAAGATTACTGAAAGGAAATATGGAGATTGGTCATCACTGATTAAAATAAATTGTTCATAAACATAAGCCATTATTGTCATTATTAATCAATAGTAAGCATGTGACAATTATATGTATTATATGTTCACTTTACATATGTATGGCAAATATTAAATCCAATTATTTCCTCATTCTTTCGTGTGCTTAGCTGAGGGGGCATTCAGAAGAGGCCACTTTCGGTGGCTACAAATCAAGTCTAAAAAAACATCTCTCAGGAACTTCTTTAATCTCAATGGCCCTTAATGTTCCAGAAACCAAATCATGAGCAGAATGTAAACAACAATAAGACGAGATTACCCTGTTTCTGTCGACAGCGGAATATCTGACCACAAATATATAAGTTTAGCCTTGAAAATGCAGCCTCAAACCCTAACTTTGTATGCATTCACCAGTGATAGATATTTCATCTCGGTAAGCTTCCTCAAAAATAGCCTAACTGGACACAACTACATTTTGCTACATTAAAATGAGAGAGACAGAGAAATCCAATATAAAACGTTGTCTGTGAGCTATGTCTTGCAAAAATGACAGAACTGGAAAATAGCTCCTCACATACATGCAAAACGGAATTAAGATAACAACCTTTAAATATGCAACATACAATTAAATTTTTAAAGGCTGAAGAGTTAGTCACCTAATTCATGATTTATCAAGATTATCCTCTTGGAAATCTGATATGCCAATTCAAAATTAGTACTTGAATTGCCATCAGAATTCCTGAAACTCTATTTTTTTTTTTTTATTGTAGTTAGGTTTAACTGCATCTGATTTTAAGTCACTTCAAGATAAGGTTACCTGTTTTAGGACAAGTTCAGGCTTTTTCTTGCGTTTGAATCTAACTATACAATAGGAAAACCTTCAGCATTCTTAATTTCGTTCCTTCACACCTCTTTTTCACCCCTATGCATCCTCACAGACAAGCAAAAATAAACACTCAAACTAGTCATCTATGAATTGACCAACCGTTGGCTCCCATGGACTTCAGACAACCAGAGAAAACAAAGACAGAAAGAATGACTGCTTTGCAAACAAAGGCTTAATTAGGTACGTAAATAAATATCCTTTTACTGCTACAGTCCCTGAATTGTCCTGAAAGAACATTTCCCAACTACTTCTCACACATGAACAACACAAATATCAACACCAAACCTCTGCTAAACAGAGACTTGTCAAAATGCCCCAACATTGGAAATCCTCTCACGTGTGACCCGTTAACAGTCATCCAATAGCGCCCACACCACCACCACCAAAATGTCTGTGTCTAAGAGAGGAGCATACGGACACACTGCTTGTTAATATGACGCGTCTGTTCCACATGCCCTGGAAGACTAACTGCCCCAACGATTAGGACAAACAGCTAAAAGGAAGGCCACGGTTGGTGTTTTTATAGCCACACATTAATCTCCCCCAGGCTGAGCTTTAACTACTTAAGACTAACGAAAATGTTCAGTAATTCTTTTGGAACCATGTCACTTCTAACAAATTCTTTCTCAATGCAAGTCCAGCATTCATTTATGCTGTTTTGTGTTTTGTCAGTTTATTCTTTTTATTTCACAGCTACATAGAAACCAGGTAAAACTAACAGTCAGCTGCAATGATAACAATTCAGAGAGAGCTTGAAAAAAACTATAAACATGTGAATAGCTGAAAGTTTTGAAATATGAAGCATGCACGTAACCATTCTAACTGAAAAGCATTTCATTTTAGAAAAATATAAAGCCCAGTAACTGATTGAGGCTGTAGCTCAGTGTCTGTCTTTCTCCCATAGATGAACCATGAACATAGGCACCGGCCTATGAGCACAAACCCTACAAACACCGAGTCTTATGATAATTTGGCAAGAGACCTAAGAAGAAACTTAATATTTTCTGCCTCGCCATTCCATTCCCTTCTTGTTTGTTCTTCAGATGAAGTGATGGTTTTTGATACAGGAGATTTTCATGTTTTCTTAGCCTCATTATAGGGACAAGTGGTGGCAAGAAATTGAAAAAAAAACAAAAGATCTGAGCTGGAGAAGACAACCTGTATGCATGCAGGCAGGGCCAACCATCAAATAAAACCAAATGGAAATTTTGTTGACATGATTAAGGAGACTACGTCCAATTGTGCTGTAGATACGTTTTTGAAATATAAATCATGGCATTTACAACTTCTCATCTTTGCTGTGGACTTAGAGGAAGTAATTGATGTTTTTAAAGGCTATTTTAAATTTTAATGAATTTTTTGTTTTCCATTCCTCCAATTCAATGAAGGAAGTTATGAACGAACTGAAAACATTTTAAATCCATAATGACTATATCCCAGGAATGCTTGCTAGATGTTAATGAATTAGCCAGTTTGAATCTTAGTGCTCAAGAGAAAGGAAATAAGCACCTTCGGGGATATATATACTCCAATATACCGTGTACCCGTATAAATGGATTCACAGACTTCAGTACAACTTCTCTGATATTATTTGCATTTAAGTAGGCATGCACCATAGATGATGAAGAACATTTGAGCTCATATTTTCAAATAATATAACATGAAATATCCCAACAGATTGATTAAAAATTCCACTTATTCTTTTATGATCTATATTGATATCTTGTAATTTCACTTTCTAAGAACCACAGCTGTCTCCAAGTACAGCAATAAAGCATGCCTGAAGCCAGGGTGAGGCGCGTACCTGTGTACTTGTATGAAATACTGTCGGAGAGTACTAGTTTCCCAAACATAAGATAATTAAGTTTGCTTTGAGAATGAGCAATAACTGTTGTTTCCCCAACTGAATGGTTTCACAGATTCCATGCTTATCTAAAGTATTTTGTAGTTTGAACTTAATCTAGACATGAAAGCAAACCTTATAAAGTACAATGCTCCTCACCATGAAAATAGTCTGGTTATTCAAGGTGAATATTCAAAAATCAATTATTACTTCACACGCACTTCAAAAGCAAGCCACACACCACTCCCCCAGGCCAGTCCCAGGGGACAGTCCCTAAAGCATACCCTAATGAAGAATACTATGTGATTCTTAATTTTGCAAGAAATGATTTGCCGGTAGAATGATGAGAAAATGAGACTTTCTCAAGCTTCTTTCATGTCTTCACATACGAAATCCAAACAGTAGGTCATCATCTCCTAATTATTCCTAAGCAGGTGTATGGGTGAAGCTCATCAAGCCAAACAATTAATCATCGTTTGTCTTTCTTATTTCAAAACGTTCTCTAATGGTCGCCTCATTTGGAGATTGCAGTAACAGAGATGACTGTGAACGGCTGAAGCGATTGCTCCCTCCAGCAGTCCCATCAGGGGCTCCTACTTGCAGGGCCCTACTTGCAGGCTCCTACTTGCAGGGCCCGCCTTTACTCTGAGCTGCAGTGGCCTGTGACACAGAGCGCAGCCCGCCTGCCATGTGCAGTTGTCTGGGTTTCTCCCAAAGGGAAATTCCAAAAGGGGAAGAGAAGACTGTGCATGCGATTTGCTCTGTAGAGTGAACCAGACCCTAAAGGTGCTTCTCTAGAAGACACTTGCATCTGTTTAAACTGCCTGTCTCCATGAGGAGAAAAGGAGTGCTCGATGCCAAGGCACATTATTAAGAGATGACTTCTTTTGCTAGACCAGCAAAGTGCTTACTTTTCATAAGCAGTAGGAATGAATGTGTTTACTCTAAAAGGAACATACAAAAAACACACATGCAAATCTTCCACTGTTGGTATAAAACAATGAAGTGATCTTACTCGAGTAAAGCAATTTAATATTAAGATATGTTATCAATTTTATAACTTTAATATTTTCCAAAAGCATCATTAATATGTGTTGGAATGGGATAGATACCACACAAACAATAATATAACAGCATTTAGCTTTATTTGTCTTAAAAATCAAGTGGTAAGAGAGCAACATGGTGATGAGGAAAGAATGCTTAAGAGTTTTGCCTGTAGATGGACTTCCGGGCATATAATTCACTGAACTTCAAGGAAAACTTAAGGTTGTACGTTAAGCAAGGTAATGACCAAGTTTAGTAAGCAATGAATTAGGCACAAGCATTATCTGTGAAGAAGAAATTCTCCAAAAACCTAAAGAAAAAATCCCATATAATATAAAATACAGTCTTCTATCTGTTGAAGTGTTAAAAATGCATGTAGAACCAAAGTGTGAAAAATAGCTAACAATTCATACAACCATGCTTGGCATACAGCATTGAAAGAGGCACATCTAGACTTAGGAATATGTGAATTAAAACCAACATTTCTCCTTACATTAAATTCACATTTCTTAATTTTATAAAAATAATTATCATAGTACTGTGCTTAAAGTCGACTAGTTAATCCTTTAAAAAGTAAATAACTTTGGTGTATATCTTCCAAATAAGGTGGATTTTGTAAACACTAAGTTCCTTCTTGTTTCTATTTTGATAAGAGCCAAAAGAACACTACAGTTTCATTGACATTTAGAACCAATCTAATCTAGTGTTTAAACAGCTAAATTTGGATCTATTTAGTAACAAAGGGGAGAGTGAAATGAAGGACACAATTCAAAATGTTCATTCCTCATATACCAAGACAATGGAAATTGATCTTGTGCAGCTTAAAATGCTGCAGAGTTACATGCACAGACACACATATGCATATGTGCCCAACAGAACCATTCTACTGGTGGAACTTTACAATCACGTAGTTACATGCATCATCTATCCGGAAGTGAATACTAGCATATACATCACATTACCTACAAGGGAAAGGCATGTAGGAGTTATAGGAGTTTCATGGATTTTAACAAGTGAACGCATATCCACTTCATAACAAAGTGGGATTGATGAAGAAACAAGGTGCAAAGTCAACAGTCAGAGGGCAGACACTCACCTTCGGTGCCATTTGGAGTCATGGAATTACTATTGATATGAGAGTTATCGAGTTTGGGGCCACTGGGGGAGTCACTACTACCACTCAGACGGCTATGCGGGCTGGTTAGATCCTGCATTTCCATAGACCTAAAGACAAGAAGCCTTCCGTTGGACAGATGTACCAAATTCATCACACCACTATTTAATGCGCTAACGACTTGACACCTTCTCTGAAACACGCTTGCACAAAAGTTCCATTGTATCCATTTTCTCAGACTCAAAATCGTTCCTCTTGCATTTGGACTCCAGGTTTCTTTTCATGTGCCTCACCTATCCGCCAAATACATGGGAGTCGGCATACTGAAGAGAGCTCGCTGGTCCTAGCCCTTCTGCCACATACTTCTGCGGGGTTCTGTAAACATCTCCCACCCACCCTCTGACACAGCACCAGTCACAAGATCCAAGGTGAGCCTGCTACATCTACCTTCATTTTCAAAGTACAGTCATGCTTTTCTTTGTACGCATGAGAAAGCTAAAGCCATTGGTTTCCAAAAAGACAAATATGTAAGCATGTACCCACAACAGAAATGTAAAAATCACTTTCCTAGGGAATCAGTTTCATCTACTAAATTCGCACTAGGTCCTTCCTTAGAATGTACCTCCCACTTGTAAGTTAATGGGTCGCCAAACCAAATGAAAGACTTGAAGCCTGTAGTCTGGTGACAGGGAAGGAGATGGTCCTGGGCTATGTGTTTACTCTGGGAAACTACTTAATTGTTCCTCTCTTTCCCTTGAAACAAATGCAGCATGAAAACATGAGGATGGCGGCTCACTTGTTTGTTTTGTGGATTACATACAGCGTGCCCAATTGAAAAGGGAGAAGACCAACATTCAGCCAGTCCCGCAGAGCATTAGCACACGGGCACATCTCAGCTGTCACTCAGGGAAGTAAGAACAATTCGACTCCCACAGTTTTCTTTTCCATCCCTCCCCAACCCCATCAAACAAATGAAATTACCCCCTGAAACTTCTTAGACTCCGCAACTAAAAATTCCCCAACAGGTAGGGGAGTTACCAGGCATGCACTGTCCATTTATACACAGTGCTCTGTTTACGGAGGAGAGAATTTATTTACAGTCTCCACAAACACACACCTACACACTGGTGTTCTGCTTTGTGACAGCCAAGTTTTGTTTTTGTTTGAAATTCTAAATCTCATTCAATTTATCTTAAACTTCATTCCCCCTCCCTTATTTTAAAGGGGGGTGGTGGCTTATGTTACTAATGCTGTTTGCTCCACACCCCATCACATCAATAAGAGTTACAGTCATTTTAATTTGGAGGCAGTACTTCAAAGGACTGCGCACAGCAGTTTTTAAAAGTGCTCAACATGAACCATTTGACTTCCAAAGTAAGTTCTTCTTGCTCCCAAAGTCTCCTGAATTCAAACTGCAAATGGTTTAAAATGCAATTTCTCTCTCCTAATTCTCATTACACAGTCACAATTTTCCTAACACCAGAAACCATAACCCATAATCATTTTCCAAATAAGGCTACCGCTCCCTTGCTACAGTCGTACAATTTTATTTTGACAAGCAGGCACACACGCACACACAGATAAATTGTTAAGTAATTTCCAACCAAGTCTGTTGCTATTAATAGGAATAAAGAAATTCTAGACAAAAATAGATCTGGGTCATAGAAAGGCACGCTCCCAAAATGCCAAATATCAATAATATCCTTACCTGCAACTGGAGGAAACAGCAACATCTGAACTGGTTTGAGATGTTTGCACCTGTGACCAGGGGGCAAAAAATTAGAAGCTGTTGTTACTTTGCCTCAGTTATTCTGCCAGGTCTTAATTACACAGAGCACATGGCTGAGAACGACAATGCTCTCTTTTAACCAAAAGAGAAAAGGAGGATCCTGCGGCAGTGAAAGGCATATTGTCTTTAAGTTGAGTCTCAACTGTTGTTTCCTCCTGCAGGTCTATCCTCCTCCCCTTGTCAAGGGGGGGGGTCAGGGGGGGAGGCAGCCAAATGACGGGGATAGTGATTCATCACTGCCCTATGACAGCTGCAAACAGGATTACCCCTCCCCCAATCAACATGTAAAGCAGCCTTGCCCAGGCAGCTTGGAAAAGGTGTTTGGGGAAAGAAAGAAAGAAAAAAAAAATCAGTATTAACAAACTGAGTGTGTTTAACAGGAGTTCCAGCAGTACTGCTACACCAGCCTCTGAAGATCTTTCATCTGTTATCACCAGCTGAAATAGACCTCCGCCCACCCCTTTGACTCCTGACAGTTTCTTATCCTTATCACTGCGATTTTCTTCTACATCGACTATTTGTCATTTATCGTGCACTCAAACCGTTTCTGGGCAGCTTTCAGGTAATGCTGGACACCCTGTCCCTGGCACAGGCCAGTTTTCTGGGACATCGTGGAGCCATGTGCTCTAGACCCATGCCATTGAAAGTTCAGGGTTTATTCATTTTCCCCCAGTGAAACAGAAAAGGTGGCTTTGTCTGTCTGTCTGTCTGTTAATGCTCTAGCTTTGAAACCTGGGAGGGAACGGGTCGTTTAATAATCAAGGTGGCACCTTCACCTCATTAGTCACTTTTGTCTCTCTGAGAATCTGCATTCTGGAACTTCACGGTTGTAGGTGTCGGTTTGGGGAGTCACTGTCCCTAACTGCCAGCAGGCAGTACAGACTCAGGTGGGCTAGGGAGGTGGCTGGCTTGCAAAGTCAGGCTAAACGTCTCTGCCTCGGCAGGAAAAGGACATTCGGCATAACACTTGAAGTGACTGCGAATTCCAAATTCGGAGTGTGCATTTTCTATCAACTTAAACTGACATTACTATGGTGCCAGGTCAAAGATGCGAGCTGAAGCAGCTCCGACGGCATTAAGGTTAGGCAACCCAACAACATCCAGCGAAACTGTTGAGTCTCTCTATTTGTTCATTATGATTTATGAAAGTCAGAAACACTACCTTTCTGGCAAGTCTAAAGCATCATCAATGTCGAAATGTCCCGGGGTAATGTTACACGGGATTTCTATGTATGAATTTCTATAATGTGTGCAGGGTGGTAGACACTTTTTTAAAGATGCTAGAGTATTAATGAAAATTTAATTTTAATGCCTACAGATGTGTCAGTGCGATAACGGGTTTCTATGATTTTTGTTAAAATGAATTTCTCAAGAGTCAAATGATTTCCCTTAAAAACTCCAGCAATCTACCTCAAGGGCAGTTTTCTTTTTTCTTTATCTCATACACCTGGAATAAATTCTCGTTGAGAACCAACTTGGGTTTTAAGAAGCCTCTTGGTTTAATTTGTGTAATTACTTAAAGCATACTTTCTGTAAGATATTAAAATTCACTCCTATTTTAATATTAGCTAGATAGCAACATCTTGAAAATACATTTTATCTTCACTATAAAGTTCCAGAATGCAGTTATGCTTATGTTGGGAGTTAACCTATCAGATTTAAAATCTAAAGTCAAGTTGTTAATAAATGTAATGATAAACTCTTACATGAGTAAAGATGATTTCTTCCCTCATGGGGGGAAAAATACATTTCTAGGACAACGCATTTCTTTTCTGTTGGGCTCGATACCGTCTGTATTGAGATTTTTCATACGCTATGATTTTTGAAAGTCCACATCCATGAACTTCATTTCATTAAGTGTACTTCAGATATATTCTTTTGTGTCTAGATGATTATTTAAACCATGTGTTGTATGTTACTGTATTTAAAAATGACTCTTTAATCAAAATAACTTTAAAACAACTAATCCTCACTTAGGCCGGTCAGCTGAATCCACATCATGGTCCAGGAAAAATAAATCTACTCTCAAGAATGCGAATGCAGACAACAATTAGACACAGATGTGAGCAAAATTAGTTACAGTTTACAAAATGCTACACTTCACATGCTTTTAGTTTTTTATGTGTAGTACAAGATTACAGGGCAGTAAGCAAACATACTCTTATAACGACTTATCTAAAAAGAACACCTATTTCTGATTGGTGTGGCTTTTCTCTAATGTTGGACAATCTCTATAGAAGTTTCTGTTTACAAGGTTTAAAACCATAAAGCATTTCAAAGCTAATCAATTAGGGGCATTTCCATTCAAGAGAGAAACAAATTTCATGGCTTTCAGAAAAGTATTATTAACCATTCAGTAAATTCACGTTTTCTGCTTTATATCCACAAAGTTAGTGTATTTCGTGTCTTCCCCTAATCTGGTATTTTAAAAATAAATGCATTTATGAATGCAAAACATATTTCTCATCAATGTATAGTCAACTTATATTACAATAAGGTCATTTGACTTGAACACTTTTAAAAACTCTTTATATGGAATGTTTATAGTAGCACATTGACAGTTGTAAATACACACACACACACACACACACACACACACAAAGATAGCAAAACTTCTTAGAATTTAAATGCAAGACTCCTAAACTAGTAACTTTGACTTCTGATTAGTTAATGAGGTCTTTTAAGTTTGGCTTTTTTCTAATTAAATTTATAATTCTTCACAGATGTAACTTTTGTTGATGTTCAATTTGTCTCTCTCATTTTGTTAAACCTTGCATAGTACTTCGCCAATCCATTGAATAGCCACATTAAATCTGTTAATACCATGCTCTTCAACCCCAGAAATTATTTCCAGAAGGCAAACTTGCTTTGAGAGATCATCAAACAAGACTTAAGGTACACATTTTATCACATTTTCCCTACCACAGAGCTCAGGATGCAGAGGGAAATTCATGACTTTTGCACTGTTTATTATACTTTGCTAAATTACAAATCAAAAGCATCTGACAGAAGATCATGTATGAAGCCAAAAAGTTAATAACGTTCTGTGAAAAGTAAACTGTAAATGGAAAGGGATTCTAAATCTCTGCAGCACAGAGCAAATAAAGTGTAGGTACTTGTCTAAATTATGGGTTTTCCATAGGCTTTCTGGACTGCTAGAAGCAATTTTTATAAAATGACTATAATTTAAAACTTTAAAAAAAACTGAAAAGAAATTTTCAAAGTGAAAGTACTGAACTTATCTAAATAAATAGAGTTGGCAGGCAAGTGAGTTTTGCCCAACCACAGATCAACCTGGGGACTCCCAAATCTCAAAGACAATGGCAATTTTCTAATCAGAATGAATTTTATGGGAGGTGGGGGAGGCCTTAAGCACAGATCTGTTTTTTGAGCAGAATATGGTCTTGCTAAAACTTTCCCTCAATCAAATGTCCAACTACGTGATCAGTGTTGTAATAAAAACCTACACCTAAAATCCAACTGACCTCCCAGAGAAAAGGTGGCATCTTAAAAATGTTAATGCGATTATTTCCTTCTTCAACAAAGACTCCATAAATGTATGCTCTATTTATTAGTACTGCTGATTTCTATCTGTACCCTACCATGTTACTTTTTGAAGTGATCTTGGTTAAAGAAAATGATCAGAATTTCAGTTTAATACAATGGTCCATGAACACAGGGAATAATTACTTAAGCCACATGGATTCAACAAAAGCTATCGATGATTTCCTTTCCAAATTAACTTTTACTTAAATGTTGGATGAAATGCGTTTGGGATCAGAGTAAATAGAAGTGGTTTTATACTTCCGGCGATTGTGTTCTTCTCTCCAATATAGTCTTATAAAATAAACGTTCCCATTCAAATGGAAATTTTCTTTATGAGAACAATCATTTATCATGTGTAATAAACTCACAGAGCAGTCGACTTCCCTTGGCCCCGCAAAGCTGGACAGTTGCTCAATGAGACTTCAACGTCTGTCACCGCAAAGAATTTTCAAGATTGAAAATCCATAGCTGCTCACTGGCTCACTGACCTCACTGGGCCTTCGGAGAACTCCAGCAGTGAGAGAGGCAAAGACCAAATACTGGATAATGCAAAAGCATGACTATCCATGTGAGCTTGTCCTCAGATTCCAGGCAGCGGGAGGGAAGAGTCACCCAGGCATATCACCAACAAAATAATACCTACTCTGAAAGATACATTGCAAAAGAGGATCCCAAACAGCGAAGGCTATCTGAAGGGCTTCCGTACCCAAATATCATGCCCTTTGGTCATAGGAAAAAAACAAAGCCATATAGGTTTTCTAAACTCAACGACAGTTTTAAATATAGGAATTCTTGGAAATGCTATGTTTAAATGTGTTCCGAAACTCCTCCCAAGAAATAAAAACCCAAGAATCATTAGCAACTCATCTACTGATTTGAACGACCAATGATAATGCCAAAAGTTTCAGAGTCTTAGTTTTTAACGTCAAGATCCATTCTAACCATATAACGTGTCAATAAGTGAAACATGTATTACTTTGGTTAGTGTTGATTATGCCACTTTTTGAAGATGAGCCTATTGAACATAGCATTTGGGAAGTTTGTTTATTGAAGCAAAAAAAAGATTTCCTTCCCTACCAAAGTACCATTGATTTATTTTTGTTATCTCTAGTCCTTTATATATGTTAATTCCTTCCTCATTTCCCTACACCAACCTGAAATGTGCTGAAAAAGTTATGGATGTGTTATCATGCATAGATCCATTAACTCTTTATTCAATATCAAAAATAATATTTGATTTGTACAGCCATTCAGCTGATATATAGAGAATTCTCTTTACGAGATTAGGGCCCTGTATTCCATCGCTTTTATATGCACTGCATCACGAGTAATTGTTAACAAAATTAATATGTAATTATCTCTCAATGATTCAAATCGCTCAGATAAGGTGGGGAGGCTAAGTATACTGTCCTTCTGACAGAACACCGTGCTTAAATAAAGCACGAGGTACAAAGTGTCATCGCTTCTCCCCTGCCAGGATGTTTTTATTTTAAAACAAATGCAAACAATAATAAAAGTACTCCTGTTATCTTGGGCTCTGCCCACAGGACAGCTGTTGCCAGTCACTACATTTTTTTCCAAACAGTCGACTTGTACTTACAGCGCTTCCATCTGCGGCATCCACCAGTTTAATGCGCTCCTTGGACTTCGGTGCTGGAGCAAACGTCCATTCCTGACATAGTTTGGCTCCCAGATAAGGACGTGCAAGCGGTCTGGGAGCTCTCCGGGGAGCCCAGCGCTTCTAGGAGCGGAGCGCTTCAGGAGGGTGAGCCAGGGCTAAAGGGACAGCCAGCCTTCTGGTCGCCGCTGCGGGCTCCGGTGGCGGAGCGAAGGAGGGCAAAGGCTTCCCCAGGCAGGAAAGCCGCCGGGGCGGGCTGCAACAGGAAGGCTCAGCGTCGGAAGTGGCACTGGAGAGTTTCTCTCTCGCCCAAAGCTCGGAGCCATCAGCTCCCCCCGTTCGGTGTAGCCACCGCCTCGCGCCCCGCGCGCTGCCCACTAAAGAGCAGCAGCAGAGAGCATCTGTGAACCCCAGACAAAGAAAGGGCCCGATCGCATCCCGGGGTTGTTTGCGCAGCCTTGTCGGTCTGCCCAGGCAGCCTGGGGGCTTTTTTGTTGGGTTTCTGCAACGCAAACCACAGCTATTCTCTTGTCTTTGCCTTATTGGTTTAAATGCAACAATTGAAAGGAGCACCGCTCTGACTCAGGCTTGCTGCTTACCAAAAAAAAAAAAAATTATTATGTAAATGAACGCGCCCCATGCTCTCTGAATAAACAGCTGTGGGAGAATAACGTCGCCCAGGCACTGTCAACACACATCCTCTGGCTACAGCAGCTCCCAATGAAGATCTTGGGGCACTCGTTGTTCTGCGTTATCTTTCACACTTTTCCAAACTTCACACACATCCCCCACCCCACCCCCAGGTCTTGAAACGTGGGGAATCTTTTTTTTTTTTTTCAAAAGTTATCTCCTCGGTACCCACTCACAGGAGCAGGGGAAATAAAACCTAGATCGACCATTTGCATTAAGTAAATACAGAGAGAGGGGGTGGGGGGAAGGCGAAACTAACCAAAGTAAACCTGGGACAATTAGCATGGAAAACTAACGCCTGGGTGATGCTGCTGCGTGGGGTCTAGAATGGCAAGTCTTTACATGAGCCATTTTCTGGTTATGGGCGAGATGATGCTCAGTGCTCATATTTTAATTTATTTGGGGAGGATAAGACTCATTTTACGTAGACTCCATTTTTCACAGAAGTCGGAATTTCTGGGCGGAAGTTAGTACAGTGCTCACCTGGAGAACTGAGCGCCTCAGATGACAACTAAATTATCGTTTCCATTTAAGATATTTACTTCCGATCATGTTTTATGCAAATAAATGACTTCAGTTATAAAATTAATGACTTAACCATTGTATTAATTTCAAATATTTAAAGAAGGCATGGCTTGCGTAACTAATCATTGCACTTGAATCTGCAAGCCCTCTGCCATAGTTGGAATACAAATGTTTATTTTAATGTTACTTATTCATCATAACTGATTTTGTACTCTCATGATAAATCCTCACAGCTATTGGATTTGCCTTAGAGTTATCTCCTTGTTGCCGGTAATACTAGTCTATCTGGTCTTTTTATTTTAAAAATAAAAAGAACAACAAAGCAGACTCTTTTTTTTGAAGGCTCTAATCTTAGTATGAAATCACATTTTAGAAATCACTGTAATGTCATAAATTATTTTATGACATCTTTCCAAACCATAGACACAGTCTTACCTTCACCTTGCTAATCTGTAAATTAAACGCTGTTCCAATACAAAGGAAACAAGCTTCTAATGGCCCAAACGCTACACACACACATCACTCCCTCCCCTTCGAAGGGATGCTAGTCTAAATTACTCAGAAAAGAGCTCTCTTAGGTCAAATCTAAGAGACAGCTTACACTGTGCCCTCACCTAGAATTTCATTTTGTATAGTATGACAAAAACTCAGAGGCTATTCATTCATCTTACCATATTTAGGAAGCAGGTCAAAAAGCAGTAGATTGCTCTGGGATCTGTTCATATAGGCAGCAGAAATAGACTTACACTACCACCTACAGCACTTTCTCAGAGCAAAACTATCAGTGATGCAATATACCAACGTTTTTTATGCAGAAAACAAAACACAGCATGGAGTGAAGGTTTTTTTCTAAAGTCATTTATTTCAACCTATAATCTCCAACACCATGCACATGAACTGTTTTTCCTATCATATTTATATTAAAGTTCCGTAAAATATAGAATTTGAGATGCTGCTAGAAAAATTCAACATTATTTAGTCCTTCACATTTAGCTGATTAGACTCGTGATTCCCATAGTTTAAAATGTATTTTATTTAGGTAAGCATAAAATACTACTTTTCTCATTACGAAGTATACTGGCAAAATTCAAACCCCACAGACTGTATGAAGTCAAAACGTGAGAAATAATCACGTAAACTATGTCACTCATTTCTACAACTGACTTACCTAGATTATAATCAAATTGATCACATTACATGTGTTTTTATATTGAAATGGAATTATTGTCCAGTGTTTAAACAAAGTACTATTAGCGAAATGATGCCTGTAATTATGAAGAAAATTAGGAGAATCACGTTGAGAGCAATGTGACTGCGAATTGATGTGATTTAGCTCAGCTTCCTAACTACCTATGTAACAAAGAGTTGTAGTCGCCAGCTCCTGGCACTGCCCAGGGGCATACATACCACTTTTAAATAGTGTCACTATCTTAATGCAAACTTAGATGAATTTAAAATATTCTTGGTTATCCATCAACTCTGGAAACGCTTCTGAATATCAAATATGTTGTACCTAGCGCTGTGAGGATGGCACCGGCCAGGCAAGGCTTCATTCTGCTACACATCAGGGTGCTGCGAGTCAGAGCCAAATCGATGGCATCAAGCAACAGCAACAATAATTAATAACTAGTAATAACTACCATTAGCAACAACTTAGGTCAATCCAGTGGTTCTCAACCTTCCTAATGCCATGACCCTTTAGTACAGTTCCTCATGTTGTGGTGACCCCCTCCAACCATAACATTATTTTTGTCATTACTTCATAACTGTAATTTTGCTACTGTTATGAATCGGGTGACCCCTGTGAAAAGGTCATTTGACCCCCAAAGGGGTCGCGACCCACAAGTTGAGAACCACTGGTTTAGACAAAAAATGATTAAAATTTAAGCCCTTAATTAACAGGGCCCAGTATGAAGTGTTCTGTTAACTTGCTATTTCTAAAAAGTTTACCAAACCTAATAACATAATAAATCACATACTTTAAAGCCCCATGTGTCCCCAAAATAAAGTCAAACATAGCACAATAAAATTTAGGATCATTTGCCATTAGTTGAGACAGATGTGAATAGGAAACTAGCTGATGATTGACTGCAGAAATCTAAAAATCTGAAACTATGAATAACTCTGCCCATCCCCCCACCCCACAAAAAAAATCTACTGCTATTGAGTTGTCTCCCACTCAGAGTGACCTTGCATAGAGTTTTCCAAACTCTCCAGCCAAACAGCGAGTCCATGCTGACTCCTAGGGACCCCTGTGGGTTCCCAAGATTGTAACTGTTTTCGGGAGTAGAAAGCCCAGTGTTTCTCCTGAGGAACTAGCTTCTAGTGGTTTCCAACTGCCGGACCAACTCATAACCACAACACTACTAGGGTTTCCCAGATTTTGTAAATCTTTACAGGAACAGATAGCCTCATTTTACTTCTGTGGAGGGACTAGTGGGTTTGAACTGCCCACCTTGCAGTTGGCAACCCAATGCTAACCTAAGTCCTGCTCTTTGCTCCACTAAAGCAAAGGTAAATATATAATTTTATCTGGAAAAAGAAAACGTGAAATATTCAACTCTTAACAAAATATTTAAATACCTTCAAAGAGACAATCTCTTTCATATACTCGCTCTCCAAGCAGGCTTTATGTTCCGGAGCAAGTGCTACTTGGGTAATCATATGATGATCATATAAACAGCAGCAAATTTTAATGGGGAAAAAATGTAGGCCTGTGAAAGAATTTAGATTAATAAAGAATTTTATTTAATGGTCTGATCACAAAAATCTTATTTTTAAAAAAGGACAAGGAAAGAGATGAAGAATTCAGATTAGTTTAAATGGTGACTTGGGACTTTTCTAAAACAATACAAGTAAACAGTTGATGGATCCAATTAAGTGTTACAAATAAACACTGAAAGAATAAAACACAAAAACTGCCATTTCTCTTTTCCATTACAGTAACACTAAGAATTCTCTGGAATGGTTATAAAGTGTGCCCCAAAAGATGAACTTAGAGGTTATTCTTCTTCCATTTAATACACTTTTGGGTAACTTTAGAATTAAGCATCTAGCTAATGCTATCACCTGGTTCCCTAGTTTACTCTCCCTCTGTGCCTACAATGCTTAGAAGACAAAGATTACTTCCCAAGAATAAAGGGACGGTGAGTTGCAAAATATAATAAGCAGTCAAAGCCGATGCTTTTCCTTCAGAAGCAAAATTCTCGTGATTATTTCTCCCATAATATCAAAATCTAGAATATCTGGAAAATGTCAAAATTTTGCCATTTAACTGCTCAAAGTCGAGCGGCAAGAAAAGCATTCCAATAGGCTCTCCGGCAGTTACCCTCCTTGCAGAAAAGTTTCTTTCTCTCTTGGTTCGTGGCCATGACACTCCATCTGGTTCCTTTACGGACCTGTTGGAGCAGTGTCTAGATGGCTGAAATGAGGATGCTTGCTGGCATTTGGAATGGTCACTTCCATGACCTACTCTTTCCCACTGGCACAAGACCCACAATGAGGGCCCTGCTCCCAGTAGCCTTCTGTTGAAACACAACCAAGTAAAACATCCTCTATTTATTTTAAGAATGACATTAAATCTGCCAAACTGAATGTCTACCAGTATTTTGCTAAATGTTTTCCATTCAACCCCCAACATGAATAGCTTTTAATAGTGAATTTAAGAAGGCAATTACCAACTATTAACTGTACCGGGGAAAATTATTTTTCATAAGTATTATAGTTTTTATACCAACACAATATGAAAATAGAACCTATTTCCTGCCTCACTAATAACTACATTGGTTATTACACAGGAA